CTCTTTGGTATTATGCAAAGACTAATAAGTGGATAAATGTCCTAAAAAGTGTTACATAAGTATAAAACATGATTCATGTGTATATTTACAACCATAAAGACATGTTAATTGGTAGGCTACAGAAAGACTTAAGTTCTTTTACAAATTAAAAAGGGGACACTTCTGCTGCTGTGGCTAAAGTGCTGAGTATGCAACTGGGAAACCTAACCTTCTATTCCAGGATTCTAAATCTGGTACCTTCAGCAAATAACATCATCAATATTTTAAAGTCATATTTGGCTTCTGGTGAGTAGCAGTGGGGTTTCCCTCCCTCCTAAGATCCTTCTTGGTGCTATCTTTCTTTCTGCAGGGTGTCTGACAGCATTAACCCTTCTCCACAAAAGAAGATTCCTACCACCTTTCCCCCTGGCTTCGATTTAAGCATCAACCCCAAACTTTTAGATTCTTATGTTCTTTGATGAATAGGTTATATCTTCTGTTTGAGTAAAATGACATAGAACAGCTATAAATTCTATCCAAAACAGAGGCCATTAAGGCATCTGGTATTAGAAGTGCAGCTCAGTGGTAGAGGGCTTGGCTAGCATGCTGGAGGCCTTGGATTGCATCCTCAGCAACACACGCACACGCACACACACACACACACACACACACACACACACACTCCACACATCTGCCCCCCATGGGCTGTTTTCACAGCATCACAGGCACGAGATTCCTCACCTTCAGAAAAGCTTGGAATTTCTAAGGCCATCAGAGGTACATAATTCATTTAGTTCAGGTCTGGGGTCCCCAAACACCTCTCCATGAGTCACCTCTCCAGAAGAGCAGTAGGACTTGTAGAGCACTGAAGAGGTAGAAAACCTATATTCCTAATGGAACTTTAATCTTCTCAGGAGAATTCTGTCTTTGTTGGAAATCCAAGACATTGCAAGCAAGTAGGATAAGACCTTCCAAAGCCACAAGGTGAATACAATGAATGTAAAGCCTAGAATACTTAGGAGAAAAACACTTGGGCCAAATTGTTAGTCTCTGAAGTAGTGATTTCCCTGTTTAACCAAAGAAAACCAATGGGAGCAGCTTTCTCCACTACTTACAAAAAAGGAGAAAGATGGGTATCTTTCATTGGAGGCATGCATCATAAAATCATTTAATTATAAGCTCAAAGGGGCTTTGAGCTCATTTTGTACCTTCTTGGCTTTCAGCAGAACAGCATTAAGCCTTCCTAAAAAGATAAGACTCAATCTATTTTATTTTTTTTTTTTATTTTTTTTTTTTTTAATTTTTTTTTATTGGTTGTTCACAACATTACAAAGCTCTTGACATATCATATTTCATACATTAGATTGAAGTGAAAGATAAGACTCAATCTATTTTAAACATGTCCAAAGCGGGCAGTCCAGATTTTGTTCCTCTGTCAGGGGAATTTTTTCCTTTCTAACCTGACCACAGGTGAATTCTTCCTATTACAAACCTGCAGGCTTCACATTAGAGTTTGGCTTGGTTTGCTCAGTTAGATGGTGAATAATCAGTCACCATTAGCCTTTTCTACACTGACCTTCCTCTGAACATCTGTATGAAATAATAACAGTTAATTAGGATGTTTGGACTTAAATCAATAAATATGGAGCTAGATGCCAAATGGATGATTACTGACAGCCAAAAGACTGCTACCCATCTCTGTTATACCTTCTTGGTTCTCTGCCATCAGCTCCAATGCTAACATTCTATCCCTTCCCCCATCTCTCTTTCAAAATCCCACCCTTCCACATTCACACACATACTCCACAACAAATGCATAAGCACACCCCTGAAGCAGGTAAACATTTAGACTTTAGCCCTCACCATTCACATTAAGGGGTAACAGTAAAGGGTACAGACTCAGGCATACACTGGGCTTAAATCCTGCTCTGGGACCTTTGACACATTTTGTAATCTCGTTATGTAAACATTTTCTCATCTATGGAATGCAGAGAATAATAGTATCTACCATATGCAGGGTCAGTACTATAAGGATTAATGAGTTAATACATGAAAAGCCCTTAGAATGGAGTCTGGTACACTAATCCTAAGTGCTATGTAGTTGTCAGCTATTGTAATTGCCCTCCTTGCAGAAAAGGGACACTTGGAGACATCAAACTATTCCTGGTTGGGGCTGGGGTTGGGGCTCAGCAGTAGAGCGCTCTCCTAGCATGCAGGAGGCCCTGGGTTTGATCCTTAGCATCACATAAAAGTAAGTAAATAAAATAAAGGTATTGTGTCCAACTACAACTAAAAAATCAATATTAAAAAACAAAACACCATGCCTTGTGTCCAGAACAGTAGTTTGAGAAAGAAAAGGGGTAG